GGAATTCATGTACTATGCGACTTATTCAAGGCTTTTGCCTGTGGTTGTGCAATCTTACACTAAAGACATAAGCTAGCATAAAAAATTGGTTTAGTTTTGCTTAGTGGGTTCTTTAGAAATAGCTTTGCATAGTCAGAAACTTTCTACTGTTTATGTTTTCGATGCCTAGACCAGATACTGATATTTCTTCACTTATAGCATTTAAGCAGAATTACATTTAAGCTTTGCTTGATGGGCAAGTTTGTGCTGCCATTTATCTATCATCAGGCAGCTTATGTTGTACAGAAAATCATTTTCTCATTTAATATACACTAAATATGTTTTCATGCTAGCTCGATAGGCCAGCTGTGCCAACTGTCAAGTCACCACATGACTTGCTGCCTAAGTCCAACCACGCTATCCTGATTATTGGTCTTGAACGCCTACCCAGCATGGGCATCCGTATCTGGACATGCCCTGCAGGGCTTGATTCTGTAGCCCATGACACCCACTCTGCTTGATGACAGTTCAGAAGATCTAAGCAGTTCAGTCATTATGTTGATTGAGTCAACACCTATATTGATAGTTCAGATCTAGTTGGTTCATTGAAAACTCTGGGAAATCACTGGTTTGAGCATGCTAATGTGTGGTTCAGCAGGAATGAACTCAATGACTGGTTACTGAAGTGATGGCTGCAATTAAACTGAATGCCAAAGTTCTTTTTTGATATGAGAAAATTCCTGATTTGATGTTGTTGTCTAGCCTAGTTTTACTTCTCCCATTAGCAAGGTTCTTTGATCTCTGTTTATAGTTTTCACATGGTTCTGTAGTGTCTGCTAATATGCAAGGAGAAATTCAGTTTTTTATCTCTTCACTCATTGTTACTTATTGTATGATTTGGTTCTGCCTGGCCATCTTTTTTTTCTCTCTCTCAAATTAAGTGAAGTTAAATATTTTGTGTGTAGGTAACTTGAACATTTTCCTTTTTCAGGATCCACAAGTTGTAACTGGCTCCCATGACACTACTATTAAGTTTTGGGATCTTGTAGCTGGTATTATTCTATTGTCAATATCCATAAGCTACTTCTGTTATTGTTTTCCAACAAAGTTGAAATCCCATTTGCAGGAAAAACAATGACAACAGTTACACACCACAAGAAATCTGTTCGTGCTATGGCATTGCATCCAAAAGAGTATTTCATCAGAACTCATGGCTTGGTCTCGATATTTTGATATCAACTTATTCGGGAAGCTTTTTTAAATCTCTGTTTTTGAATCCAGGAGAGCATTTGCATCTGCATCAGCAGACAATATAAAGAAGTTTAACCTTCCAAAAGGCGAATTTCTTCACAATATGCTTTGAGTATTTGTTCTTATGCCAACCATTTTAATGGTGAATCTGAGTGTGCCGTAGTTGAAAAGAAAACTCGTAGAGCAATTTACTTTCTTCAGTTGATCTGAGCTGTGATTTTACTTCAGAACTAAAGGATTATCTATTATTCTTGTGTTATTATAAAACCATGTAGGATGATTTGTGGCTTGATGTGTTTAGTTCAATCCATCTTGTATTAGAAATTGCACATTTGTTTGCTTACATTTTACTGTTTGTAATATTATTAATAAAAATTTCTTAAACCACCCTTTGAAATGCTACTTGTTTTATTTTGTTGTCCAGGTCCCAACAGAGAACAATAATAAATTCAATGGCAGTTAACGAAGATGGTGTTTTGGCCACTGCTGGTATGCTGGAAACCAACCATGTGGTTTCAATTGCCACTTGTTATTGGATAGCACATTGTTCCTGATATAAGCTGTGCCAAATGATGCTTTTACATGGCCAAGAAATCTTGATGTAGTAAATTCTTGGAAGTCACAGCTTCACTTTTTTGAAGGTGACAATGGAAGCCTTTGGTTTTGGGATTGGAAGAGCGGCCACAATTTCCAGCAAGCCCAGACTATTGTCCAGCCTGGTTAGTGTTGCCATTTATACCTGTGAATTCTTCTTTCTTGGTATTCCTGGAACATCATGTTATTTGTCTTGAATTCTTTTGTTCCTTTTATTTTGTTCAGGGTCCCTTGACAGTGAAGCATGCATCTATGCTCTTTCATATGATATAAGTGGTTCAAGACTTGTTACCTGCGAAGCAGACAAAACTATCAAGATGTGGAAAGAAGATCAAAGTGCAACTCCGGAAACCCATCCTCTCAACTTCAAGCCACCAAAAGAATTCCGCAGGTACTAATTTCGGCTCAAGTTGACCACCTCTCCGCAGCAGATTTTATAAGTTTACTACAGAAATTCTTTCCACCGCCGGAGTTGTTTGCTGGGAACCAGAACAGGTAGAATTTAAGAGGTTGTGCTATTCGGAAACACTAAAACTAGTGATACCAAACATGAATAAGCACCGAAATCTTGCCGAGAAGAAAGAAAATATAGAGATGAAAGGTAACTTTTTCCACACAATGTTGTTCATGTGATTGTCCTTTTTAGTTGTTTTCATAAATGGAAATGTCACTGTCTAGTTTGGTGGACTATTTGGCTAGTGATGTTTGTGTGGGTGCGAACCATTGACCTTCACAGTAATTAGGATGGCAGCTTGATGACAAATTACAAGCAAATGGTGGTTGTTGTAATTAGGTTGGCAGATTAGCCTTTATCATAATTAGGTGGAATAATAGATGAACTGTACTGTGGAGGATCCAAGTTCATTAGTACATGATATTATGATTACGTGAGATTCGCAACCAGGTTGGATTAAGGCAACATGATTCCATGAGTTGTATCTTAGAACCTTGTTGCAGCAATTACCATCCCAACTTTTTCTCTGTTTTCTTCTTGTTTGCCAACTTAAATGTAGTCAACAACATGAGCAATGTTTCAACAATAGGCCTAATCATCTGTCAAGTGGAATGCTTCCATGCATAAGCTTTGCCCAAAGACTTGAGCTGTTACTGAAGATATAATTTGCTAGGGGTCCTCTGGCTAATCTTATTATGTTGAGGCAAAATGTGAGGAGATAAGGATTACTCAAACTGTGCTACTGACTCCATGGATGCACAGAGCACCTGTAAAAAGGTTGATTCGCTTTCAATTTCACAATGTTGCCTGCTAATTGTTTCAAAAGATTTCAACTGACACTAAAAGGCGATCAATGTATATAATTTTATGCTTGCAAATACTAAGTGAATAACTGGCATACCAGGGTTGAGAATAATCTCAGTGTACGCAATTTTATCGGGTTGTTTATGCAATTTTGTTCAGCATCACTACCAGAAAGCAAGGTGTCTTATGGTCATTTCCTTTTTGTTTTATTTTATTTTGTAGGTCACATCTTGAAGAAAGTTGATTGGGTGATTTATGTGAAAAAAATCTTTCTTTGACTTTTTTTTTTTGCCTGTTTCTAATTTTTATATTTCATATCTTTTATTCTCTAATATCTTAAATATCTTTGTTCATCGTACCCTCTTTACGATGAGCATTAGTGATTGTCATTTCTGTCTTATCGTGATCACTTTCTATCCTATTGCATTATGGGTTGTTGTGGTTGTCTTTATTGTCGTTTGCTTTGTTGTAGTCGTTCGTCGTATTGTTTGGTTGTCCTCTTGGTAAGGAGGCGCAAATGGGGTTAAGTTGTATTGTCTTGACTTTGTGCCCTTACAAAACAAAGGAATCAAAGAAACCTTCAAGACCATTCAAGTTGTTGATGGTCTTAACGCTAGTGCTACTCTTATATCGACCTTCATCTGGACTCGTTTTGAAAGGATAATACGAGAGATCCGTCGATAGGTGATAAAGGGAGATCTCGTATCGCTCATTATGGAGGGATAAGTTGAGGGAGTCAAGAAAGGGAAACCTCATGAGCCATTATCGTGGTGGCCATCAACAGCACGAAGAAAAGTCATAGAGGTCTTATTCTTTCCTTTATTATGGAAGGAAATAGAGTCAACAATATGATTTAGTCTCATCTACATCCCCTTGTTACGAAACAACATCAAAAATGATAATTAACAATGCTTATGCAAGAGAGGATATGACGATGAGGACAAATGATATTTAAGATATTAAAAAATATCAAATAAAAATATCATATATATATATATATATATATATATATATATATAAAGTTCATTTTTCAGTTATTAAACATTTATAGGTGGGGAAAGTTGGTTGAGTCACATGGAACATGAATGGTGCAACATCAGGCTTTGCTTGAGGTTTAAATAACTAGACTGTCCTTAGTAGCCCTTAGCAGCACAGGTGGGGTCTTTATTGTCTTACAGCCATTGTTCATAGCTCTATGATTCAAAGTGCATTAACCCAGAATTGTCAGCTAAGGATAACCTGACAAATATTTATCTTGCTTGTCAATTCTACTGGACTGTTCGATACGATTGCCTAACTGGTTGATTGACGACCATGTATATTATGACCATATACAACACTATAGACGTTGACATATCCCAACTTTATTACCCACTCTCATGTATGATATCCATCTTTGTACTACTGTGTTTTCTTGATTTCCCTTGTGTGCAAAACACGTGTAGAACCCTAATTTGTCTTAACGCACCCATTTCTTCCCGACATGCCAAACTTAGGCAGCGTCGGACTCGAACCCGTTTTGGTGCCATCAGTTCCTCTCGACTTGCCCAACTTTGAACTGCTGCTCTAAAAAGTCCGTCCGTCGTGGGTGGAGTTGCGTATCGGAAAAGGCCACGCCGACGCCGTCCCCACCGATCTACCAGCCATGATGCATGCATTTCCAAACCGGACAAGTCAGCAGCTAACGTCGGGGTCCCGCCAAAGACACGTCAAGTCAAACACAGACCTTGGTTCCGTCGCGTTGGAGCTGACGATCTTTCACGCACACATCTCGATGTCCACGTTGCCGTTGCTCCATCCATGTTGTCGGCCGTATTCAACTGATAAGATAATGGGAAATACCATTAATACCCTTTATGGTGGCGGTGGGCAAAATTACGTGCGAGCCCTCGTCTCTCAGTTTCTTCTACAAGAAGACCCGCCCCCCTCTTTGCCACCCGTCGAACGGCAGCTCCAAGAAAGTGGAACTCCCGTCGCCCCACTTACGTGGCGTTGTCGATCCTCGGCCGATGGCCTCCGAGCTCATCTACCGCGGTGGCCACGACGCTTACCGCTCGGTGAGCGGCGGCGACTACGTCCCCAAGCCGGAGAAGCGGATCCTCTGGCTCTCGCGCCCGATTCGCTATCTCCTCCGGGAGCAACGCCTCGTCTTCGTGCTCGTAGGCATGGCCCTTGGCTCACTCTTCTTCGCCCTCGCTCCCTCATCTTCTTCCTCCTCTGCCGTGGCGGTCGAGATCGCTTTGCGCTCGGTGGAGCCGACGAGGTTCGGTGCGTTCCAGCAGCACCACCACAGGACGGCGTTCGAGGCGGCGAATAAGGGGTTCGTGGGGGGGAAGGTGCCGCTGGGGATCAAGCGGAAGGGGCTGCGCGTCGTGGTGACGGGCGGGGCCGGGTTCGTGGGGAGTCACCTGGTGGACCGGCTGATCGCCAGGGGGGACAGCGTGATCGTGGTGGACAACTTCTTCACGGGGCGGAAGGAGAACGTGATGCATCACTTCGGGAACCCCAACTTCGAGCTCATCCGCCACGACGTCGTCGAGCCGCTGCTGCTCGAGGTCGACCAGATCTACCACCTCGCCTGCCCCGCCTCCCCCGTCCACTACAAGTTCAACCCAATCAAGACCATCATATCCTTATATTCTTTGTCATTTTCTCTCCTAATTGATCTCCTCTTCTGCATCATTTTAGCCGTAAAGATCGCTTCTTTTCGATAATCCGTCGTACTCTTTCTTGTTCGATATAAAGCTTCGTTCGTTTATATGTTCTATTTTGGCTCATTATTTGTTAAAGAACCCATCTTTTCTTTTTCCAAGAACCAATCTTTCTTCATTAGATTATTATTTTGTTTCGGTGATACATGATCCAGCTCTCTCTCTCTCTCTCTCTCTCTCTCCTAGAAATGTTCATATCCCTTATAGAAGTCTCCGTCTCAGTCTTGTTTTTTCTTAAGATTTTCTAAATTGGGATCTTTTTCTTCTTGGCCACCTCAAATTAACACTTGTCTGCTTGTAGCTCTTCCTATTCAAGTATTTTATTAGTGAAAGTACTCTTTTTGGGTCATTGTGTCTGTGGGATGTTGATTCTTATTGGATCATCATCTCTCTGCACTGGTTTTCCTCGTATGTACAAATTTGTGAAAACAGGGTTTCTTCTCCTCTGGTCTTCGAATAATTTGAACTTTTGACAGCTAATTCTTGTTTAAAAACGATCAATTTGGTTAGTGGTGGTTTGTGGTCGGGTGGGATGTCGGTGTCCTTGTTGGTGTTCTTATTCTTGCAAGCGAAAAGAATTGAATAGAATAACGGGGAAGAAGAAGAAGAAGAAAAAGTGTCTTTTTTTTTTCACCTGTTACAAGCCTTAATTCATGCAGCTTTTGCCGTGGAGTGCACAAGACCAATGTGGTGGGAACTCTCAACATGCTAGGCCTGGCCAAGAGAGTGGGGGCCAGATTCCTCCTCACCAGCACCAGCGAGGTCTATGGTGATCCATTGCAGCACCCTCAAGTTGAGACCTACTGGGGCAATGTTAATCCCATTGGTACATCTCCCTCTCTTTATCACCATCTCTTTCATTTCTTTAGCTCTGGCTCGTCATAGAATCTTCAATGAAATGAAGCATCCTAAGGTAGTGAGTGTCCTTTTCTCCTTCTAAATTAGAATCACTTGTGGGCTGGGTTGCAACTGGGAACTGTGAAGCATATCATACATGTGGTCCATATGATACATTATGTTGGCTGGGTACCATTGTGTTTCATACGAAAATAGAGAAGAATCTAACAAGCATTCGGTATCTTGTTTGGGTGTTGGGTTGGCCTGTGGGGGATGGCAGGAGTTAGGAGCTGCTATGATGAAGGCAAGCGCACTGCAGAGACGCTGACCATGGATTACCACCGTGGTGCCCAAGTCGAGGTCGTTTAACTTGTGACTGATCGAAACACTGATGTATTTGCTTTAGAAGTAGCTTCTTGATTGGTTCTTTGATATCATATGCCAAGTTCCTATGTTGCAGGTGAGGATTGCTCGAATCTTCAACACCTATGGGCCTCGCATGTGCATCGATGATGGCAGGGTGGTCAGCAATTTTGTTGCTCAGGTGTTCTGCTACTGTGCTGAGATTCTAAAATTTTTCTGTTTAACATAGATTATTAGTTCCTTGTTACATGGTGGTATTGATGTTTAGTTTCAACTAAGTAAGATGCATTGAACTGCTGAATTTGATGGTTCTGCTTGATTTTGATGATACGAGTTAGGCCTTGAGGAAGGAGCCACTGACTGTTTATGGAGATGGAAACCAGACAAGGAGTTTCCAATATGTCTCCGACCTGGTGGGTCTTCTTGCTTTTTCTGCACCAAGTTCAATCTATTTCTTTTCCATTTCACTCGTATTTATTTATCTTTTAAGTTAACGTAGTAGAAACCAGTAGCTTTGATTTTGATGCATGTTAGCTCAACATGGACCAGCTATGTTCTCAATTTCTTGCAGCTGTTGTGGGTGGGTCCAAAGAGTATATGGACATTCAAAAACAGCACATTCATGTGCAATATCAACCTACTGTGCCCAAACAGCTTGTGCTTCTTTGCTTTGTCTGCACCAAAATTTCCTTGATAAAATCTCAGTTGGTCCTTTAGTTTATTCTAGCTTCAAAGTTTAGATTCATCATTAACCTTCAGCTCCTGGACGCCATTGATAAGGAAGCAGCAAACAACTTTGCCCGCCCTTGCTAATAAGAGGTTCCATATCTATGTACTGGGAGTGATGCTTCACTTGATTTTGACACTAGATGATTATTTTGGTGGAGTTTATTGGTTTGCTTTCACTGTAACTCAACGAGGTAAAAAAAGGACAAGAAAGCATTTCAAGAATGATCACAGTTCAATATCGGTAGTAGTATGCTCAAAACATTTGTATCATGCTTTTAGAATATCCTATAATCTTTGCCAAGCATTTAACAATAAAATGCAGGTGGAGGGTTTGATGAGGCTGATGGAAGGAGAACATATTGGTCCATTCAATCTGGGAAACCCCGGAGAGTTTACAATGGTGGAGCTTGCTAAAGTTGTGCAGGAAACCATTGATCCCGATGCCAAAATTGAGTTCCGCCCCAACACAGAGGATGATCCCCACAAGCGCAAGCCTGACATCACCAGGGCCAAGGAGCTGCTCGGCTGGGAGCCCAAGATCCCTCTCCGCCAAGGCCTTCCGCTTATGGTCTCTGACTTCCGTAAGCGTATCTTTGGTGATCACTCCGACGCCAATCCTTCCACAACTTCTAAAACTACTGGCACTGGATCCTCCTAAGAGTCTATATTTTCATCCTATACGGGATATATACAGACCATAAGAATCCCATTCGGCAGAAGCGAGGAGACACACAGATCTTGGGTTGCTTGGTTTAGGTTACTAATGAGTTATCCATTGTCCCATAGCTGTTGTATGAGCTATACTACTGCTGCAGGCTGAGAGATAGCTGCAGCTGCATTGCAGTGGTGCAAGTCCCTTTGGATAATACAATTTCATCATGTATCTTTACTTGCTGTAGCAGATTGGCCTTCTGTATTGGATTTTATTATTGTAATGTTAGATTATGTTATATTCCCTTGGCAGAATGCATTATTGCAAGTATCCTGACATGTAAAAAGCATGCCAACAAGATTCTCTTTTAAGAACAACCTCTGTATCAGATACTGCCTTGAGTTCCCTTATCATTCTGCATAATCATACAGTGTCATATGATTGACAAAAAGTACAGAATCTTTATACTAATTTCAGTGGCAAGACAACTGAAGAAAGGACAGGATTAATAGAGAGGTTGTTTCTACATCAACAGAGAAGCAACCACTGATATCAAAGTCAAGCTGGTCAAAGATCATGACTAAGATTCTGATCTGCTTATAGTAGAAATTCCTAAGTTATTTGTAGATAGAAATTCCTATAATACAACACTGTTGCAGAAGATACTGGAGAATATCTGAAGGTCCTTCATACAAATAATAATAAATAAAATATATATATATATATATATACAAAATTAGTAGTTTTGTAAGTCTAATATTTTTACACCCTTTGTATATAATTAGGGTTCAAATAGCACATGGTGTTTTTTTTTTTTCCTTTTTTTATATAATTATTTTTTATTAAGATTATTCTAAAATGAGGACCAAAAGGTAAGTCCAATCCTAGCCAAAAGACAAAAATATATGATGGGTCAAATGGATAATGTATTGTTGCATAGGTGATAGGTCTCACACTCGAGTTTAGCGTCAAACGAAAAATTCTTCTGATTTTGGAAAAAAAATAATTAGTCAAAGCAATCATTTGACAAGGAAAATAAATCTTATAAATAGTTCAGGGTCTCATTTCCATGTTGTGAGCCATTTAGTCAAAGTGAAAGAGAGAGAGAGAGAGAGAGAGAGAGAGAGAGAGTTCAGCCTGTGCGAGTCTACTCTGTCTTTGTCGGTCGAGAGCAGAAGAAAGAACAATTTAGAGGACGACATGAAGCAACCTAATGGTGTGCAGTTAAGAACATTAGTAGAGATGATATAAAAGACACGTCTCCTGGGGGGAAAAGTAGAGGAGACATGAGTATATTTAGGTCGTACCTGCATCGCGAGTTGGATTTCGAAGGAGGAGGTGAGATGCCTATGTTGGAGAAGGAGATCACATGCAAAGATGGAGACGTAGAGAGAGAGAGAGAGACTTTGCACGTGCCCTGCTTCTCCAACAATGGCTTCCTCACCATAGCAGAAGATGCCTTCAGATCACTTGGACTTTGGTTCGGCTCTGAGGCCCTCTGAGGGAGCAGTACGCACCTCTTTATATAAGGAAACGAAGAGAGAGAGAGAGAGAGAGAAACCCACATGCAAAGTAAAACACGGAAACAGTGTACATTGTCTGCCATATGTTGGTGAATGTCAATGGAGAGACCTTATAGGCTTTGAGCTTTCTCTCTCCTACAGATAGAGAACAGACAATGAAGAAGGCGACAGGGTAGAGTATAATACATTATCTCCTGCTGGGATATAGTTTAGTTTAACCTATCATATTGGGTAATACGCCTGATGACCAAAGAATCTCGTCTGTTATATTGTCCATGCTCTTTCTTGTTGCTTAATCTTGGGTTCATAAAGCTGTAGTTGTAGGAAGGCGGGATAATTACACATTATTTCAGTTAGACCTTTTAGTATCCTAATTTTTAGATTTAAAAAATTTATATTAAAATATTTATAATTATGAAAGTAAAATATTTAACTTAATTTATCCTAATGTCATCAATTTTACCGATGAAAGATACAACATATGACAGCAAATGTATGAATGACAAAAACTATAAACAATAAGGTAATTTTAATTATAGTAGTAGATGATAATGTCGTGGGTGGTTGTTATGGTGGTAGTCGATGAGAATGATATGATGATTGACTTTGTCAATATTGATCTGAACATCAACGATGAAGAGGAAGAAGAAGCAGAGCAATGATGTATCTGTGTCAGTGCCGTAGGAGGAAGAGGAGAGAGATGAGACATTTGCATCAACGATGATGAGGAGAGAGGAGGAAGAGGAAGCAGGTGAGGTAGAACAATGCAATGCTGGACGAGGAAGAGGAGGTACCGCTCTGCCTCCTCTTTTGCCTCCCTCATCATTGTCAGTGACGTAAATGTCTCACCCGCCTTCTCTTCCTCCTCCGATGTTGATGCCAACACCAACATGGATGTTGAGCAGTGTTGTATGAGGAAGAAGAGGTAAAGCGATGTGGCGCCGATGCAGATGTCTCACCTCCTTCATCTTCTTCCTTCAGCACTGACACAGATGCCTCATCGCTCTGTCTCATTTTCCTCCTCATCATCAATATTTTGATCGGCATCGGTAAGGTTAACCATCACGTTGTTCTTGTCAACTACCACTATAATAATCACCCATGGTGTCATCATCCGCCACCACCAATTAAATTATATTTCTTGCTCATCGTTTTCGTATCATTCATGCACGTGATGTCACATGTTGTATCTTCTATCGGTAAAATCAATAACGTTATGATAAATGAAGTTAAATATTTCACTTTATAACCATACAAATTTTAATGTAGATTTTTTAAATTTGAAGACTAAAATAAAATACTAAAGAGATCTAATTACAAGGCACTGAAAGTTGAACTTTATCTAGATAGACTGATTGGTGAAGAATTAGCAATCAACTTAAACATAGATGCAGAAGCTTGTATTTTTTTCTGATAAATTTTCTAAAAAAATCACAAGTTCTATTATTTCTCACAAAATATTTCTTTTTTATTTTATTCGAAGTATTTTTATTTTTTAAAATATGATATTATCCCATCCTGTCCTAATTGCCTTCGTCTCATCGTGGTTACCTCCGGCTAACAAAGGCTCTTGCTTGGGCTTGTGCTCCCGTTCATGCCTTCATCCCTACTGTAAGATCGTGGTTGTCACCGTCGGCAACGAGGTCCTCATTTGTGCCAACGACTCCACCCTCGCCCATTGCCGCATCCCTGCCATGGAGATCCTCCATGGTGGCCTCACGTCTCTCAACCTCGATCACGATGTCATCGTCACCTCCGCCACTCCCTCACTGTCCTACCTACCCTCTAGCGTAGTCTTCTGCCCGGATCTCCTCTCCTACATTCGACCCCTCCTTGCCTTCCACACCCGCACTGGCTCCCCCATCTTCGTCAACGCCTACTCTTCACATATGTGAAGGATCCATCCAACGTCACACTTGAATATGCTCTCCTCGATTGAGGTCCGTCGCTTTCACCAACCCGGCCACCAGCATCTGCTACACCAACTTGCTCCATGCTAAGGTCGATGACATATACCACTATTGGGTTTAGCCTATACGTGGGTTTGGACGGGATGATTTGGGCACTGAGCCCAAATTTGATTTATTAAAAAAAGAAAGAAAAAGAGATATAAAATAGATGTGCACACGGAGGGCAGTGAGTGGCATGCGTGCAGCAAACCATGGCGGCGCTTAGAAAACGAATAGAGAGAGAAAAGGAAAAAGATTAAGGTTTTGAGACTTTTGTTACATGATCGAATGGTCAAACTTCATTGGTTTTAGCTCAAAGTTTATGTGAAAAATCCTTACAACAAGCTCTACAATCTTAACAATATCGATCTACAGTTTATCCTCTCTAATGTGTTTTCCTGCTATACCCATTGTGAGATCTAAAATTTTCTTTTCATGAAATCCATCTTTGGTGATGATGATATATTAATGTTGAGCCAAGATCTGTGTTCTTGATGTTATTGTGATCCTCTGGTTATTTTGAAGAAGACTTACTATAAACTTGTTATCATTATTGGTGATAGTGGAAGTTTGAAGTAGATTACGGTCCCGTAGTTTTCCCGCATTGGGTTTTCATGTAAAAATTTTAGTATCTCACTTTGTGATTGATTTATTGTTCTACTGCTTATACTACTCTAGTTAATATTTGCTTTTGATAACAAGTTAGCATGTTGATGAGGAACTCATTTTGATACACAAAGAGGGAAAAGAATTATTCTACTATAATAGTTTTTTCCAACAAGTGGTATTAGAGCTTCAAGTTGTTTGGTGCTAGCTTTTTTCTTGTGTGATTGAAATTGAAGAGTCAGACAATATGATTAAATTGAACTTATCAAATTATTCTACTTGGAGGCATATGATAGAAGATTTGCTCTATTGCAAAGATTTGTATAAGCTCATCAAAGTTAAAGACAAACCTTCTACTATGGAAGATGAGGAATTGGAGGTTCTAACATAGAAAAAATATTGCCTATATTAGAAGATAGATGTATATAAATTTACATGAGCATAATTCTAATTTATTGTTCTACTGTTTATGCTGCTCTAGTTAATATTTGATTTTGGTAACAAGTTGGTATGTTGATGAGAAACTCATTTTGATACACAAAGAGGGAAAAGAATTATTCTACTATAATAGTTTTTCCCAACAAGTGGTATTAAAGCTTCAGGTTGTTTAGTGATAGTTTTTTTCTTGTGTGATTGAAATGGAAGAGTCAGACGATATGATTAAATTGAACTCATCAAATTATTCTACTTGGAGGCGTATGATAGAAGATTTACTCTATTGTAAAGATTTGTATAAGATCATCAAAGTTAAAGACAAATCTTCTACTATGGAAGATGAGGAATTGGAGGTTCAACATAGAAAAGCTATTGCTTATATTAGAAGATTGATTGATATAAATTTGTATGAGCATCTTTCTGATAAAACCAGAGCTGATGTTGTTTGGCAAAGGTTAGAAAACCTCTTTGCGAAAAAAACAATGGGAAATAGAATTTCTCTCATTGGAAGACTTATAAATTTGAAGTATAAATATGGTGGTAATATTGTTGAGCATATAAGCCTATTTCAGAGTCTTGCAAACAAGTTGATTGGTATGAAAATGAATATAGATGATGAGATGTAAGGATTATTACTTCTCAATTCTTTATCAGAAAGTTGGGAAACATATGTGGTGACAATTTGTAACTCCACACCATAGGGGACTCTAACTATAAATATGGTTAAAGATAGTTTGCTAAATGAAGATGCTAGAAGGAAAGAATAGAGAGAATCTTCTTCTGGTGCATTTGTTACTAAAA